GGTTGGGAGGGGAAAGACTGAGGATGCTCTTGGGAACATCAGGTGGGGAGGGTCTTCAGTGGACTGCAGCCGGTGAGCAGAATTGGCCTGGGGTGTCTGGGGTATCCCAGGAGCATGGAACCCTGGGCCACTGAATCCTGGATCTTTGGGCCACACAGCATATGCTCCAGAGACGGCATCAGTGAGGCCCCAGATGGGAATTCCACTGGCTGAACTGGACTTCACCCGAGACACTTGTAACCTGAGGACTTAAGCCGGAAAACACATGGTGTCTGAGGAAGCAGAGGACAGCTGGAACAAGAGCCGTGTCCTGTTGGCTGGCGGACAAACAAGGTCTTGCTACATCAACACCCTGTGTGCTGTATTAGGGCACATATTATTCCAGCAATCCTGCTATATTCCACTTATGCTTGTTTTTATTAGGGTGTATCTCAGAGGTGCATCTCCATTGGGGCTCACCCTCTTGAAGCTATGTTATTTGTTTTGTTGTTTTTTGGTAAACGAAACCCAGGGATGTTGAGCCTATAGAGAAAGAAAATATAACCAGGGTTTTGGGGTGGGGTGGGTGGGTTGTTAGTCTGGGTAGACTAGAGAAATAAAATTCATAAAGACTTATATTTTATGAGGGTTTTATATGAAGGGTAATTGTACCTTAAGCATCCCAACCCAGTCCAGTCCAAACCCATAAGCCCGACAGCCCACATGTCTGACATCGATCTACCAAGTCCTCCTCAAACTCACAAAACATACGCAATGATGCTGACTGCAGGAGGAAAGCATCTCAGTGCTTAAAGGGGTTTCTGCGTGTCTTCTTCAGCACCCAGGGCTGCATCAGGGTATGTCCATGTGGCTTCTCCTCAAGGATGTCTCGTAGGAAGCTGAGCTATCTTGCCAGCTGAGGCAGAGAACTAGCTAAGGCAGCCACACTCTGGTCCAACCATCAGAGAACAAGAGACCAGAAAGGTGAGCCTCGCTGAGCCTTTTATCCCTCTGCCCTTCAATTAATCCCACATGTGTTCATCGGCCAGGTTGGCACAATCAACCTTAACTATCCCAGGGGGAAAGGGAGATATAGAGGGGTGGGGGAGAGAAAAAGGAGATGATGTCCAGGAAGGAAAAAGTATGTTTGGAGACTGATTATGAAAGCAATTGTACAGTTGTGTTTAACATGACTGAATTATGGAATGATATGACACATGTATTAACTCACAAGTTGCGGAATTTTTTTTTAAAAGCATAGATCCAGGAATGGGTTTGGGGCTCACACTAAATCCTAGCTCCAACTTAAAAATAATGAGTTCTTACATCATGGCCCTGTTCGAAAATCCCCTTCATGAAACGATCACTAACGATAAGGGTGCTACAGCAGTGTGGTGAAGAAAGCAGATGATGCCCAGCTATCTGGGGTCTTCAAGGCTTGTATACAGACAAACAGCCATCTAAGTGAGGAGTCAACTAAGTCCACATGGAAGAAGCGTACTAGCTTGTGATCCAAAGATGATATTTACAAAATCCAAATATGGCGAGGCGAAAAGCATCAGAGCACAAATGATGAACACCCAATTTGTGGAGGGCTATGGGGATGGTGGGAACCCCAAACCCATCTGCAGAGTATCTGGTCAGGCTGAGCCACTGGCAGATCCTCTCAGGCCACAGGCCAGGGTCTGGCCCAGCCTTACTGTCAGGCAGAGATCATTGTCATGCTGATTATGCTAGAGCAAACTTGAGACCTGGCCAGTTGACCTTCCTGTAGATGTGCCCTGAATTTGTTCTGGGTGCAAGTATCTCTTACTTGTTCCGTGACAGAAATTTCTTCCCTGACATTTTGAATGTCGATAGGGGTCTTTTCCCTCTTACACATTATTTGTATTTTTGTCTTTAGGCTATATGATTTTATCCTTTCCAACTTAGTGAGATTTTGTTTTTCCCTGTTTTCTGTTGGGTCTCCCAGCTGTGCAGCACAGGAGAAGTGGGTGCATAAGGATAATAACTGACACGAGGGAATGCAGGGATAGAGGGCGGGTGATAGAGAGGAAGGGGATTTCAGGAATAAATGATGAAGGCACGAGGGGGGAGGGAGCACTATTGTGATTCCACAACTCATTTAAAGGCAATTTAACCAGGAGGGTTGGGGGGATGCTCTGAAAGTGACGTGGTAATGATTGTACAATTCTTCTTGATATGATTGAATGATTGGATTATTGAATTGTATGATATGTAAGTAATAGGCCAATCTAACTGTAAAAACAGTGAAGGTCAGGAAGGTTAAGGAACTGAATGGATAGAAGTGGCGCACTCGTGGTGCGAACAGTAAGAATGTAGCCAGTGCCACGGAACAATTGGGTATGGATTTTGAAGGGTAATCTAAGTTGCTGTGTAAACCTTCACCTAAAACACAATAAAATAGAGAAAAATTGTTTTAAAATCCTGTGAGGTGTTAGTATCTTGCAATTTCCTAAAGAATGCCAAATTTTGAATACACTGTGAAAGTATCTTGGTTTACGTATCAACATGGACTCAATGGCAGTGGGTTTTTTAATTTGGGCAAGCACACAATTTTGGTGGTTGGCTGATTCTCAGACAATGCCCTTAGATCCCTCCTTAGAATACTATTTTTAAAAGGCACCAGTAACTTGTTGTTGGTCAAAATCTGGTCACCTGGAACCATTCTTACAAAGGAGGTCCAACTGCAAAAGTGGCCAACCAAGACCCTGCCACCGACAACTTTGAAAATGTTAGCCAATCAGATATGCCCCGATGGTACCCCCAACCCCTCACCATGCCTTTTGCCTTGATCCACTTTTGTACTTCTACAATTCCTTGGAACCCATTGTCAAAAGCTCCTTTAATCTTTGTTTCCCATTTTGCAAAACACTGCCACCCTAATACACTCTGGTTTTCATTGTAAACAGACATGTCATTGGTTCGTTGCAGCAAACCCTGATAACGGGTTTCTGTTTACATCTGTGGTGTGTCAGGTGGACATTTTTATTTTGAATGACTTCAATATTAGTCAGTATCATCTCAGAAATATACTGACAACTGTCTTAGAAATCCCTGTTGCAATTTCACTCAGAAACGCTGAAGTAATTATTCACCATAGAGGAAGAGATTGGTAAAGGTACAGGTACCATATTTTAAGAGCATCATTACTTCCTTCAAGGTCAAAGCTGAATGTTTAGAGGTTATGGGTTGGCTGCTGAGCACAAATCAGTAGTTGGAAATCACCTGCTTCTCTGTGGGAGAAAAGAGAGGAAGCCTTCTACTCCCATAGTTACAGAATGCCACAGAGATGGGTCGACCTGGTCCTGCAGGATTTCTAGGAGTTGGAAGCAACTCAATGTGCTAGGGGAATGCTGATGCCCCAGTGCGTCTCGTGTTTTTAAGAAGACCTGCAGAGCACCTGTCATCAACTGACCTTCAGTGAAGTGCCGAGTCCCGGAGTCTCCACGGGATGTACTCCCTGCTCTCTGGAGCATTTATGTCTTGCCAGGACTCCAGGGTTCTGGCGTTTCTTGCTTGTCTTCTCTGAGAAGCATGATGACATCTATGTGATGTCTTGGTGGTCCCGATCTCCTAACACTGTCTTATGACAAAGGCAGGAGATTCAACATACTCCCGGGGCAAAATTGCAAATCAATATTATTTTCTAACCCGAAGGTGAGCTGTTACTGATGCTACTGGCTAATCATGAAAATGAACGCATTTGCCCCATCACTGGGTGAATGCCGGCATCTGCTCAGGAACAGTGACCGTGTCTGACACAGGATTGTGTGTGGGGCCACTACTTATTTCAGCTGTGGTAGCCCACAGCCTTTCTCCCAAATCCACCTGGCTTCTGCAGGGACCAGATTGGCAAATGACCTGGAGAGAAGCAAGGCTCCAGCCCCTCTGCGTCCTTTGGGTCACTGATGGCAGCCTTCGTCTCTGCCACCCGTCCCCACATGCAAAAGGGCTTATGGTCTTGGCTGTCTTCCCTGGTCTTGAATGAGGGAAGTAGCAGAGGTATCCACTTGTCAGTTCCCACTATGATCCCTAACTCTCCCCACCCCCCCTGCCAGGTCAAGGACCCAGTGTGAGGATTATTCCAACTTTCAAGTATAGTCATTTTAATAATGCATTTGAGGGTAGTAAACTGATCACTGGGTGTGTCCATAGACATAGTGGACGCCTGTAGAGTTTGACTTTAACCAAGACTCCCTTTACTATCTTGCTCCTAAAGCCCCACTCTCAGGGGTGGGGGAGAGGAGAAGAAGGCTGTCACATTGGAAGTTTCTGGGTGTCAAGGCCCCTCAGAGCCTCTGCCCAAATGTCACCCTTCAAATGTCACCCAGGCAAATGACTGAAGCTCCCTTTGGAACAAGAAGGAAGGATGGAGGCACTCGTCTATAAACTGATCCAGGTACTGCGGCTTTCTAAGAACTTGGCTGCTTCCGTCAATAGATCCTGAACCTGCAAGCTCCCTCGTTGGTTGGTCACGAACTAAACAAGGGATTGTGACTTTATTGGGGTGACTCTTGTTCCTCTATCACTGCCTCCTGGCCGTTGTAGCTAGTTGGCATCAGCCTTGTAGCCTCCCTGCCTCTTTTTGCCCAGAAATAATAATAAAGTTCCTAAATCCCACCTGTAGTGGTAAGATGTTGACTTTGCTCCGTGATCTATTCAGTGCACCTCCTGTCATTCCTAAAGCAATCACTGAACTATGGCCACGCAAACGACTCTCAGAAACCCGATCGGCAAATTAGAATAGGACACTGAAGAAATGTCGCAGCCGCCCCAAAGAAAGGAAGGAAATGGGAAACAGGGCACAAAAGCCAGAGAGGCCCGGCAGAAAACAAACAGCAGCCCCGTCGACCGGAGTCCAACAATAACAAGCCGTCCATCAGACCACGCGGAGCTTGGGGGACGAGAAGAGCCCTTCTCTGATGGGGCGCTTTTCTTTCTGACGATTTAAAGACAGCGCTGAAAAATCTTGGCCTCGACTGTATTCTTCTCGGATCTGAAATCTTGAGCATGTCAGATTTCACGTCTCCCGACTTGGCTATCCTGGGATCGATCACTCAACCAAGGACGACTGTCCTTGCTCAACAGGAAGTGCCTGGATGTCGGCGAGAAGGCTAACAGTCCAAGAAGGAATCATGTGAATGCGCGGTCAGGCAGCCCGCAGAACTGGGAGCCTGCCCTCGCTCTGGAGGCCGTCTCAACGGGTCACTTCCCAGAAGGCAAACAGTTAAAAGCAAATTCTAGAGAGTTATGTGAGCCGTTTGCCTCTCGCTGCGGAGATCCTGGCTAAAGGCTGCTGCTAGAGCTTCTACTGCAAACGGCCCCAAAGTAAGTTCATGGTATTTTTTGGTTTGTTTGTGGGTTTTGTTTTTGCATTCTTCTCCATGTAAATCCTGGTTTGTGAACTCAGTACCAGCCTGCTGCGGAGATATTTTTAGGAAAAGCAGTGTCTTATTTCATGCTTATGAATAGCTGGTATTGTATGCGAGCTAGATAAACAAGCTGAGTTACAAGAGAAGGTTTGAAAATGTATACAACTGGGAGGACATGGTGAGCCAGAAACGGGGATGGGGACTGAGTTGCAATTTGCTGGCACGTTGTAAAGAACAAAGCAGCTGGAGAATGGATGCGTGAAGTCCGAGTTGTGTCTGAAGTTCCTTTCTTTTATTGCACAATGATCTCCCTGCACTTTGGGGACCTGAGCCTGGTGTTCTGAATTTACAACAATATTATCAAGGATGTTTACAGAAAAGCACCCCCAATCTCTAAATCTCAGGCTATAAGAACTGTAAAAATGTAAGCTAGGTTCCAGAATTGTTTATGCTTTAGACACCTCCGGAGAATCCGCGTGTGGAATGTGCACCGTTTCCTAATTGCTATCTTATTTTGCATCCACAATGTTTGCCGTGAACAGATCTTTTGTGCTTCTGTGGGGAGTAGCCAGCATTTTATTCTAAATGTAAAAACAACGGAAGAGGAAAACAATCAGTCTTTGTGATTTGAAACAACCTATCTATCATGGTAGTCCTCTTAAAACTCCAGGGGGAAAAAGTGGTGGGTGGCGGGGGACAGCTGGGAGGAAATCAAGCAGACAATACTAACTCACCATGAAAACATTCTAAAGCGTTTGATTCAGGCCCAGGACTCTATACTACTTTGGAGAGGGAAGGCATCCTCTTCGTTAGCTAGCACATGCGACAATCCAGCACATTACCTTAGAAGTGTCCCCTGCATTCTCAGGGACACTCTGAACAATACAGAAACCCACAGCCCCTCTTACTCCTTGTCCTGAACCTAATGCTGCCTTATTCCTGGAATGGTCTCCTCCTCCTCCTCCTCCTCCCACCTCACCATTCCCCGGGCCTCCTGAGCTCTTTTATGGTTTTGTTTTCTATCTTGACTTCCTTTCCAAGCCCATTCAACCACCAGGTGTCTGTTCTTCCTCTGGAAGTGCTGTCTGAGGTTGTTAAATCTAATCTGCCACTCACTACTATGAAACTAAGAGGCGTCCTGGTGGTGTAGAGGGTTGCACATTAGGTTTCTAACTGTAGAGTCTGCAGTTTGAAACCACCAGTCACTTCATGAGAGGAAATACATGGCTTTCTACTGATGTAAAGAATTACAGTCTCAGAAACCCACCAGGGCAGTCTATGAGTCAGAGCGGACTCGATGGCAGTACGTTTTGGTTTGGTTTTTTAAATATGAAACTAACCCTCGAACAACGCATCCCAGCGTTATCTCTAGGAAATAGCACTGCCCCAGCATGACCCTGTCCCCTGAATGAGCTGAGAGTGTGGGCATAGCCACTTTGTCATGCAACCACGAGGTGTCGAAGGGATCAGGTATAAGGCATCATCAGAACAAAAAATCTTACCATAGTGAATGATGGGGGGAGTGCGGAGTGGAGACCCAAAGCCCATTAGTAGGCCACTGGAGATCCCCTTGCAGAGGGGTCTCTGGGAGGAGACCAGCCAGTCAGGGTGCGATGTAACAACGATGAAAAATACAACTTTCCTCTAGTTCCTAAATGTTTCCTCCCCGCTCCCACTACCATGACTCGAATTCGACCTTGCAAGTCTGGCTAGACCAGAAGATGTACACTGGTACAGATAGGAACTGGAAACACAGGGAATCCAGGGCGGATGACCCCTACAAGACCAGTGGTGTGAGTGGCGAAACAGGGAGGGTAGAGGGAGAGTGGGTAGGAAAGAGGGAACTGATTACAAGGAACTATATGTGACCTCCTCCCTGGGGGACAGACAACTGAAAAGTGAGTGAAGGGAGACGTCGGACAGGGCAAGATATGAAAAAATAACAATCTATAAACTATCAAGGGCTCATGAGGGAAGGGGGAGCGGGGAGGGGAAAAATGAGGACCTAATGCCGGGGTTTTAAGTGGAGGGGAAATGTTTTGAGAATGAGGGCAATGAATGTACAAATGCGCTTTACACAATTGATGTGTGTATGGATTGTGCTAAGAGTTGTATGAGCCCCTAATAAAATGATTTTTTTTTTTAATTCACTACCAGGGGGTCAACAGAAAAGTGGGTAAAGGGAGACATTGGTCAGTGTAAGACATGAAAAAATCATTTATAAACTATCAAGGGTTCGGGAGGGAGGGGAAAAAATGAGCTGATACCAAGGGCTCAAGTAGAAAGAAAATGTTTTGAAAATGATGATGGCAACAAATGTAAAAATGTGCTTGACACAATAGATATATGTATGGATTATGATAAGAGTTGTATGAGCCCCCAATAAAATTATTTTTTAAATGTTTTGAAAAAAAAAAAAGAGGAGTTCATGAGGAACTATACCCAGCCTCGACATGGGGGAGGCCCCTTCTCTCCAAAATCAGAACTTCTCAGATGATCCAACAATTCCCATCCTAGAAATAGACCCCAAAGAATTGAGAGCAGGCACGCAGGCCTGCAAACACTCATGTCCATCTCAGCACTAATCAGAGTCACCAAAAGGTGGCAACAACTGAAGGTTCACCAACAGATGAATCTCACGCCATCAAATCAGGTGTCATCCTCCAAAACAGTGAACTCACTGCCATCAAGCCGGCTCTGACTCGCGGTGACCCTATAGGACAGGGTAGAACTTCCTCCTGTGGGTTTCCAAGACTGGAACGCTTTGCAACATCAGTCTACCACCAAGGGACTGGTGGTTTCAAACGGCTGATCTTGCAGTTAGCAGTTCAAATTGTAATCCCCTCGGTCACGGGGGCGCCAAATGGATGAGCAGATAAGGAAGAGATGGTACATAGCCGTGGACTTTTACACCGTCCTGAAGAGAAATGATGTTTTGACACATCCTACAAGAGATGAACCTTGAAAATATTGTTCACGCAGTCACACAAAGACAAGGATTGTGGGGTGCTGCATACATGGAATCTCTAGAAGTGAAAGACGTCTACAAATCCACATCTGTTCATGGTTACTAGGAAGGAGACAGGAGGGGAAGTCAGTTCTTAGGGGACACTGAAGTTCTGTTAAGGATGATGGAAAACTTTGAAAATCGAGAGTGGTGATGGTTTCAGTACAGGAGGAGAGCGATGCATCTCACTGAATTGTACATATAAAAACATGGGCATGGCAAATGTGTGTGTGTGTGCGTCTACACACATAAACCTATTGCCTGTCAAGTCAATTCCGACTCAGAGAAACTCTAGACTAGCTCACTCACTACAGATAGCACAATAAGGAAAGGATGTGTTGTTAAAAATAGGCAGGACTTAAGAACCAACTAAGAAATGTCAGGGAGGAGTGCTGGCTTTGGGCTCAAATTCCGACCCATTCTCCCACGTCACATCCTTGGTGTGCTTCCCAGAGAACTGAGGGTCCTTCAGCATGGATGCTGGGTTATTCTTTCACGGGTAAGGGCTTTAGAGAGCACTCAGCTCCCCGCATTTCTGGGAGCGCGCATTCCATTCACATAGTATTGGTTGGTTTGGGCTGTGGACAGAGGTGACATTGATCCTGTGCCCTGTACCATCACCTTCTGGAGGTATTTGCATCGATACATGAAATGTGGGTATACATTCTTCTACCAAATATCGCGTGTCCCAAATATACACTGAGGTGCACACCCTTTGCCCAAGGTGCAATATGCAAACACAATGATCTGCTGCCTCTCCCCAGAGCGAACAAGGCTGATCTGATGTTAGGAGCCTCTCTGCTGTGCAGTGTCATGCTGCTCTCTGCAGGCCACTTTAGGTAAGGTCCATGGGCTATTTACACAATGGGTCAGGGCAGCTGATTCTTCCCCTCATTAAAGCCCTTCCAAGCTCAGCTCAGGTGGAGCGTCTCTGGATGGCCCTAAGTCACAGCTCAAACTTATCAGAGCCTCTCCGTAGTCACGTGTATAATTCATTGATTTCATCCGTTGAGATAATCTGTGATCTAGCGATCAGGGTATTTGCTGTGTCAATTCTGGCTGAAGGCTCTGAAACGCTGACGTTCTGGTGATTCGTTGGCGTGGAGATGCCAGGAATGCTTCTCCTCTGTCTCCCTCTTTGCATCTTCTCCTCTTTTTTTATTTTTTTATTTTAGGTTTGCATATGGTATTTCTTTCTTTTTAAAAAAAATCATTTTATTGGGGTCTCAGACAAGTCTTATCACAATCCATACACACATCCATTGTGTCAACCATATTTGTGCATTTGTTGCCAACATCATTCTCAAAATATTTGCTTTCTACTTGAGCCCTTGGTATCAGTTCCTCATTTCCCCACTCCTTCCTCACTCCCTCATGGACCCTTGATAATTTAGAAATTATTATTATTTTGTCATTTCCTACATTGTCTGACGTCTCCCTTCACCCACTTTTCTATTGTCCATCCCCCAGGGAGGAGGTTATATGTAGATCCTTGTGATCGGTTCCCCCTTTCTATCCCACCTTCCCACCACCCTCTCATTATCGCCATGCTCCTCACTGGTCCTGAAGGGATCATCCGCCCTGGATTCCCTGCATTTCCAGTTCCTATCTGTACCAGTGTACATCCTCTGGTCTAGCCAAATTTGTAAGGTAGAGGACATTGGTACCATAGGACTAGGGCCCACCTACCAAACCATGAACCTCTTTGACCTAACTGATAACGTCTTCACAAACACTATTTCCACAGAAGACCATGTTTGCAGGTACTGGGATTGGAGTGTCAGCCTATATTTTGGGGTGACATAATCCAACCCATTTACCCACTGTCATACTATCTAGCCAAATCGCCACCCCAAATCTGTCAGGTGCCTCATTACTGGCAAGTTTTCAAGTCTAAGACATAGTTCATCCTCCTGTTTTCCCAAATGCACTAGAAAATGGAAAAGCTGACATAACTGTGATACTAAAAGTAGGCAAGAGCTGTGGGTAAAAAATTAAATCAAATTACAGTTCGGTATCACTAATGTTGGCAAATTCAACCTAGTATGTTAAACATAGTAAGAATCTGACAGTTACCATATTTTCCCATAATAACCCATGTGATTCTATCTATCTATCTATCTATCTATCTATCTATCTATCTATCTATCTATCTATCTATCTATCTATCTAGAGGTCTTAGTTTCCCATGTTGCACTGTGTGTCTGATATGGGGATACACATCATGTATGTGTGCATGTTATATGCAAAAGCACAGTTAAAGAGATCAGCAATTAAATGTGTGTGAGAGAGAGAAATGTTTGTACACAGAGAGTCAGAGCTGGAGAAGCTACTGCAAATGTTGTCGTGGCCCTTTGTTTCTGTGCCATTTGCAGTCTTGTGATAAGAGAAAGAACGCACCCTGGGGTTTCCGGAGGCTGCACGGGAGGACAGGTCCTACGGAATACACAAAGTCCTGGAGTTAAAGGCCTCAGGGAAAAGAAACGCTGAGGCTCATCCACTACCATCTGTTACTTCGAAGTGAGCCAAGATCCTTGGGGAAATGATAAGGTCATTCTTGAGGCTTGATGAGGTGGGCTTGCCAAAGAACCGCTAATGACTCCTTCAGGAGAAGTCTGGGGCTTCATCCAGCCCTAAGGGGAGTTGTTTGCTTTTCATATGCAAAGATGTACATTTTTACATATTTAGTAGTAGTATATAAAACAGAATAACTTAGGAAAACTTACAGTGCTGCCTGGAAAACACAAGAGAACCTAGGGATCGAGATGACATATTACCAGTTCATATTAGAAAATGGCATTATCCTGACAAAAATGGCATGAGGCGAGCATGTACAAAAATACACAAGGCGGCGGTGACTAAAACCACAGGAAAGCAGAAGAGCTGGAGCCTTCTTTAAATTCATAGAGATCATTCATCTTCTATGGTTGCTCCCTATGGCTGCTCCTTAATGGGGGGGGGGGCATATTTTTAGCCTGGAGAAGGTGTATTTAAAGGCATTTCTATCTCAGAACAATGGAGATCTTTCTCTAAATGGGGCCAATTTTCCAGACCCACTGGGGTGAGTGTAGAAATAAGGCCAAATATACTCTCCCAAGTCCTCAGTTGACCACACATAAGAATTTTTTTGGAGGGGGGCAGGAGGGGTAAGCACTTCCACTTAATCTTTTTATCACTTTCATCTCTCTGCCAAAGTCTCACAGATTGTTTACCCTTTCAGCCAATCTTTTAGCACAATGATCATGGTTATTTTAACATTCATGTCTGATAGTTCCAAAATATGCCTCATCTGAATCTGTATTCATTGACTATTTGCTGTCAGTAGATTGTTTTCTTGCTCTTTGATGTTCATATATATTTTATTTAATACTGGCCACCATGAAGGAAAACAATAAAAGGTAAAGTCATGCCTACTAATTCTTGAATTGGATACCTGTCAGACCATGCACTGAGGGACGAGTTGAGTGGATCTCATTAGCAGTTGAGTTGAATTTTCATGAGGCCTGTTCCACTTCGCCTTTCAACTGGCCATGCGCACACGAGCCACAAAGGGAGTCCTGATCCATGGTCTCACTTGCACCCCTCCCACAGACCAGTGCACTTTGATGCTTGGTTCATTGGGAGGGGAAGTGGAGTTCTAGATTTCCTGACCAGCCTCACTGGTAGATGCCATGGATCTGGCCTTGGGATGGAGCATTTTTCCTTACTACATGGAGACCAAATCCCACCTCTGGAGAGGTCTTGATAAGAGCGTCCCCTCCCTCCTTCTGCAGCTGATTTGTATCAGTGCTGGGTGTAGAAAGTATTGCTCAGTAGCAGCTGATCTTTTCTTAGGGATGGAGGTGGGATAGTTCCTGCTGTCGATTTGTACTTGAGACGAGACTGGTGGTTGGGGGAGGTGATTTTATGTTCCCTTGCCCCCTGGAAAAGTGACTTCTCCTTCTACCTGTCCCTTGTCATTGTTAGGTGCCATCAATCAGTTCTCACTCATAGGCATCCTGTCTACATACAACCCCAAACACTGCTTGGTCCTACACCATCGGCACAATTGTTATGTTTTGAGCTCATTAACAGCCACCATGTCAATCCATTTCCTTGAGGATCCTCTTCTTTCCTTTCTTTCTTTTTTTGTTTTGTTTTACTGACCCTCTACCTGACCAAAAAGCCTGGTGTCTTTTTCCAGGAACCTCTTGATAACATGCCCAAAGGATATGAGACAAAGTCACACCCTCATCAATTCTAAGGAGACTTCTGGCTGTCCTTCCTCCGGGCAAAAAAGCAGGACAGTCCCGATTGTTTGGTGTTTTAAAAAAGTCCCGATTTTTGGAAAGAATGCACGACAAGCTAGGGAAAGGTCTATTTGGTCCATATAGACCAAATTTTTAATCAAGAACCCCTCCTCCCCCACCGGTCAATGGTGTCCCACTTTAAATCTTCATCCAGGACAGATCTGCCTGGTCCTCACAGTGACCAGCTTCATGGCCGCTGGCCTCAGAAGTCACCTTTTTGTCCCACTGGGTTTATCAGGTGACTCCGTATCTGCAAGACATGTCTTTCTGAGACCATGACATTTATTTTAAATATTTTCCTTTCTCCAACAGAGCAAAATGAGTGAAAGAAAGATAAGTGTGTGTCAGCAAGCTTGGGCCTTATTGTACAAGAATTGCCTTAAAAAATGGAGGATGAAGAGGGATTCCTTAATGGTATGATTCAATATTTTTTGTCACACATTAATTATAGCCCAGTGCAATTTCTTGGATGGTATTTGTGCTATATGGGTCTCCCTCTCCCCACCAATAAAGTACCTTTGTGGTGCCGAAGTCCTGGTGACACTGGGGTTTACCAGCAGCCTGCTAACCTCTTGGTTGCAAACCCACCAGATGCTCCAGGCAAGAAGTATCTATCACAGATACTATCTACCACCCAACATCTGTATCTATCTGTTCCCGGAAAGATTCACAGTCTCAGAAACCCTTTATAGAGCCACTGTGAGTTGCAATCAACTCAAAGGCAGGGTGGGCTTTTGGGATGGGACTGATGTTTCTCAGACCAGGAATCAATCTGAAGGCATATCAGTTGAGTTCTTAAAACACAGAAGCTTATCAACAATTGAGAATCCAATACATGTTTTAAATGCGAAAGGCTGCAATTTTCACTAATGCTCCTCGCCACAGATACTAGGCTAGGCTAAGTTACCAGTAATTTGATAGTCTGGTAAACAATTTCACCATGAAATACCATTTAAAGCAACAGAAAACTGGCATTCTCTGTCATGGATTTATTGGCATTAAAAAAAATAATTCAAGCACCCTACAAAAAGTAGGAAATTTATTCATTACCAGAAGAAGATTAACATTGACTTTTATAACCTTACCATCTAATAAAATCTAGTTTGGTGCCTTTGAATAATCAGATAGGCATCGTTAGGTGGCATTTTCAACTGAACCAGAATTCTACTGTATTGTAGATGATTTTCCCATGATCGTGAATTTTGGAACTAATAAATGATCTATCACTGGAAGTTGGCAAGGGACGAGTGTTGATAGCATTTATTGAAGCCAGTGTTTCTCAAGTTGTCCACATTTTGTTGAGCTATCAAATCCAGAATGTTGGCATGTGATCGGTGTATTGTTGAGAAGTGAGCAATGCCTTGGGACTGTCTGGCGCAACACTTAGACTTTCTGATGGATCAAATCCAAGATAAATGGGTCCCTGGGGTAATACCAAATGTGTGTCTGTCATTACAGCTTGCCACTGTCACGTTTGATCTTTTAAAGGCTCCAGTGCACACTTCAGCACTGGTGCTAAGGAGCAATCCATGTACATTCTAGTTGGTCCTTAATGCCTTGGGCTGGCTGGGGCCACTGGCTTTTATTGTACACCTTCTTAAAGGTTCATAGTGCGATGCCAATTAAAGTTAAGTGAGACAATCTATGTGATACTACTTTATTGTGGATAATAATTTGGAACCATGATTTTCTCTATTTATTTTTCTCTTGGATTGTGCAGGAATTTTTGAATGCATTCATTCTGCTGCTTTCTTTGTACCTGCTTCCTAATATTCATCACGTTAATGATTTCTCTTCACTGCCCATTGTGGACCTGGGACGGGTAGATTCATTTGAAGTGTCTAACTTTATTGTTGCATACACACCCATCACCGGCAGAACGCAACAGATCATGAGTAAACTGGCCATAGCCCCCTTCATGAAAGGTAAGTGCTCTCGCAATCCAAGAAGGATTATTTCCAATGTCATTACTTGGTTCATTTGAACACAAGTTGCATTTAATTTGCATTCCAACTAAGAAACTAGGACCACTGTCGAAGGTCTCTTTTACTTGAAACACACATTCTCTTTGGGGGGAAGAAGCCATTATCCAATATCTAAATCACAGTGAAATTGTTGCTTGGCAAGCATTGGCTTACCACTTGGAACAGAAGCCTGTCAACAAGGAAGACTTCGGGAAGCATGGAATACACAGATCAGAAGACTTTGAAAAGGAGAGTTTGGGGTTTGTTCCCACAAAGCTGCGGAAGCATTGTTTCTAGAATGTGATTATTGCACTAGGGTTTGCTTGTTACAGTGGACCGGGCACAGTCAGTCTTGTTTGTTTATTTTTAAATTGGATATAAGAATCATGTGTTCTCCTTTTTACCACCACCCCCAAACATCTTTATTGCTATATTTGAAGATTCTCTTCAAGAATATTTCCAAGTTTTGCTTCAAATTTACTGTACTTTTCAAGGGACCTCTAAGAATAAATGGTGTTGGCTCATCATAAAAAGGAACATTGTAAGATATAGGTTCAGCTATAATAATGTCTATGATACAATAATATCTATAGACCTTCAAGGAAGGACAGTGAATACATTATTTAAATTTACAGACCAACCAGAAAGCCAGTTAGGTTTTATGTCAACTTGGGTGGGCCAAGGCTCTCCCACGATCTGATTGTGGTCAGCTCCAGGATGGGATCTTCTGTGAAGCAGCCAAGCAGTTGTGGGGAGAACAGACCTCCTTTATCTGCTCCCAGCCTTCCTGTGATTGAGGGAAGTCTCACCCAGGGTGTGACCTGCTGTCAGTATGAATTGACCACATGTAGAAGCTAGCTGACTTTTAGTGCTGGATTTGGATCCAGCATCTGGTTCATTGACCTCCTGCTGATCCCAGGAACCATCAGAGGATTGTTGACCTTGGAATCACCTGGCTGATCTCTGACTCATTCAGCTTGGCATGTATCTGTTTCTTCTTCCTGCTTCCCCTTTGTCAGCCCCCAGAACAACCGGAGTCGGGAGAAGCCTTTGATTTACACGGGACCCACAGACTTGAACCTGGCTGGACTTGCCCGCTTCTGTAACTGTTTCTACATATGTGCAAATACATGTGTCACTGGTTTGGCCTCTCTAGAAGACCCAGCCTAACAAAGCTGATGATGAAGAAACTGAAGAATCCCACCAAGTTCTTCAGTCTGAAACTGATCAAGTAGGCAGTCAAGATGCACTAATCATTACCAGCGATTGGAATGCAAAAGTTGGAAACAAAGAGGATGAATCAGTAGCTAGAAAGCATGTCCTTGGTGATAAAAATGAAGCTGGAGATCATGAGATAGAATTTTGCAAGACCAGTGGCTTCTTCATTGCACATAGCTTCTCCCCCAATAACATAAATGGCAACTACGCGTGTGGACCTTGCCAGATGGAATATACAGAAATGAAATCGAGTACATCGGTGGGAAGAAACCATGGAAAATCTCAGTACCCTCAGCCACAATAAGGCTGCCTGCGGACTAGATCATTAAGTGCTCACAGGTAAGGTCAGCTTGAAGTTGGAGAAAATGAAAACACGGCTGAGAGAGCCAAAATCCTACCTTGAGTCTATTCCACCTGAATTTCAAGAACATCTCCATAATAGATTTGACTAATTGACCACTAATGACAGAAGACTTGATGAGCTATGGGATGACATGAAGAATGTCTGGCATAAAGACTGCAAAAGGGCGTTTAAGAAGGCAGCAAAGGAAAGACCAGAGTGGATGTCAGAACACTCAAAAACAAACCAGCAAAGACACCAACCCATGCCATCGTGTCAATTCCAGTTCAGAGAGACTGCGCAGGAGAGCAGAACTGCTTCTGTGCGTTGCCAAGACTAGAACCCTGTAAGGGAATTGAAAGCCGATTGTTTCCCTTGGCAAGTGATTATGATGTTCAACAGCTGACCTTGCATGGCCCAAAGCCTCAAGTGTAGCCCAAAGAGTCACAAGAGAGTCATTCTTCCTTTCTGTCTTTTTTACCCCATTGAATAAATAAATGGCACTAGACGTTGTCTCATGGAGACACCCTGTATGTAGATTAGAATTGTGCTGTAATAGTATCAAGGCGATGAATGACCTTTCCTGTATCCAAGGCACCTCTGTTGGGTTTGAACTGTCCATCTTCAGCCTAATATTCATGAAGTTTGTCACGTACTTAATCATTTGCACCACCCACGGGATCACCATTTCTACCTCGTTTGAATAAAACATCTTTATGAAGTTAACCAAAATATCTCCAAAAATAAGCATTTAATGATGTCAGTCTTGCCACTCTACATTATTTTGAAATGCTCAGGGTTTGTTTGATTAATGCATTAACCATACTGTCATACAACAGCCATACTCTCAGAGTTGTTAAAAATCTGTTTTTTCCAAGACCTCCTGTCTAGTTATTTCCACTTGATACACACGTGTCTAGTTATTCTACAGCTCTGTTCATTGTCTTACTACCAGTTTAGATTGATTGCACTGCTGATTCATCTATAAATAGTTTCCTCAGTAAGCGGTGGTATATTCTATCATTGAAATTGGCTCAATGACCCACATGTAAAGACAACAAGTCACGTGTTCCTTCTGATTGTTTCTAGACTGAACTTAAGAAACGCCTTTCTTTCTAGTCTGTCTGACTTACTCAAAACCAATGCTTGGTTATGTTTTTCTTTCCATCAAGCACCTACTAAAAATAATGAACAGGGGCAACCTGAAGACATACCTTTTGGTAATATACTAGTAACCATGTCGCCTTCTTGTAATGGCAGATGGAAAAATCCTGGGGGTGTCAGATGAAGAACAGATGGAAGAATTATCTGAGAATTATTCTGATGAAATCATAAAAGTCATCTTCACTAATACCTTCTCCTATCATTTGAAGTTCTTGTTGGGACACAGAATCCCTACTAGGAAGGAACACAGGGACCACACAGGTAACTTTCCGCTCTACAGGACACTACTCTGTTTTAATTGTAAGTCGTATGTGGGGACAGATACCACTATGGTAAAATAGATTATCCTCCTCTGCCATCGTGAGGTCAATATTGTTACTCCATGACTTTTAAAATACGTACTTATTTGGGGCATATTAACAGATTGTAATGATTATTAAAAATAAAGTTGTTTATAGAAAAAACAAAACCTAAATGTACTGGGGTTGAGTTGATTCCAACTCATGGTGACCAGATGTGTTATAGACTAGAACTGCTCCATAAGGCTGCTTATGGTTATAAGGTCGTTGGTTCAAACCCTCCAACTTGCCCCATGGGAGAAAGACGAGGCTTTCTGCACCTATAACAATTTGCCTCAGAACCCCAAAGGGGCAGTTCTGCCCCGTCCTATATGGTCATTATGGGTCAGAATCAACGTGATAGCAGTGAGTTTGGATTTTGGGTTTAATGTTTTTGGAATCAAACAGCCAGGACTTTCTCAATCTGCGAGGCCCCTGGGTGGGTTCAAACAGCTAACCTTTAGGTTAGTAGATGAGCACAAACCATTTGTGCCACTGACTCTCCTTTCAAATGCATGAGTAAGTTCAAATGCAGTAAGGGAAACCTCCACGGACCCTCCATGGAGAGGCACTGAACACAGAGTGATGAGTTATTGCTAGTGAAATGGGGCCAGTCTCAGGGCTCAAGAGGTTTGGGTTAGAACAGCTACCTGAGGACACAGGAGTAGTTAGTTCTGAGACTTGCATGAATAGAGATTTTGCATTAATTTGGAAGCCTGGAAAGACAGTGAATGTGTAGGCAAAGGAAGTTTGTTTGTCTGGGATCAGGTATGGAGTGGGGAGTGGAAAGCTTCACGTTTTAAAATTATGTATGTTGTTTTATAAATGGTAGAAGATTTATCGGTACACACATATTCCAAAAGTTCATGGAAAAATGGAATTGAAAGATCATGCAATTTTTCCATGAACCTTAAGAAGCTCCCTTGTATAAATACCAGCCATTTATACATGCTTATACACATCATATATACATATACTATAAATGCATATACCATATATACACTTTTATGCATTTATAGGCATTCTGTTATATTTCAGTTCCATTTTTTTGGTCATGTACTCTTTTCAGCCCCCTTCTGTGTACATGTGTGTGTATAAATCAAACCAAAAAGGACCCACACAATACTTTAATACCATCTTTAGGTATAAAAAGTTTCAAAGACTGACTGCCACTTTAATTATCACATGCCATTTGAATACATATTATTAAAAACATCTCTGCTTTAATTTAGTACTCACTGAGATAGTATTTCACGTGTGTGATTTCATCAGTAAACACTTTTCGTCAGAAGACACTCAACATGATTTGTGCATGACAAGTTGCTTCACTTGAAACTCCCTTTGCCCATTCTAACTTATACTGGAGGCTGTCTCCCAGAAACACACGTCGATTTAGTTCAGCATTTCTGGCACCGCATTAGACTCTGCTAATTTGGAAAACATTAAAAATACATTGTGTTCACAATACAAAATCATTCAAGAGAGGAGTTCAAGGAAGCCTCTCCCTGGCAGAGAAGCAAGGAGTGTGTATTGCAAGTTAGTACAGAGTATTAACACAGCATATTTCCTCTGCCATTCCCCATTGGCAAATCATTCTTGCTCCCATGGGCTTTGGGTTTGGGTTAAAACAGCTACCTGAGGACACAGGAGTAGTTCTGAGACTTGCATGAATAGAGATTTAAGACCATTTGGAGTGTGGGGCCATTGTATAAAATCTGCTACATCCTAAAGCAAGAAAGAGATAATCCATAATGGTATTGTGGTTTCCTTCTCTTCCCAAAGCTCATTGTTATGAAATGAATGAAGATATTGAGTGTGGACTTGCAGAATTCTGGAGTAAAGGTTTTGTGGCTTTTCAAGCTGCCATTAATGCTGCTATTATAGAAGTAAGTGCAAACCATTCAAAGCAAACTAATGTTCATTGCAAATCAATGATTTGCATTTAGAGGTGTCTATGTAAATTGATAGTCCTATTGTTTCATTTGTTCATTGATTCGTATATAACAAAGTTTATTGAAACTGCTATCTAAAAAGAAGATATGCACATCACTATAATAAAAAGCATCTCCTACAAGCACTTGACCTTGTCAGAAGCAAAGCATCCAGTAACAGGAGAAATTTAATACCATAGCGGATTAATAAGGTCTTCACAGGAAAACAAGAAAATGGTTTGAACAGGAGAAATAAAATACCATAGCGGATTAATAAGGTCTTCACAGGAAAACAAGAAAATGGTTCTCAGCCTAGACTACTCTGGAAGAATTTCTAATTGAAGTGACTAACAGAGACCCCATAAGACAAAGTAGACCTGCCCTTTTGGATTTCCAGGTTTGTAAATCTTCACAGGGCCAGCTGGTCTCATCTTTCTCCCGTGGTGCAATTAGTCGGGTCCATCTGCTAATCTGACTTATAACAGTTCATTGTGTAGCCCAGAAACACACAATAAAGTCAAAGAACTGTGAGGAGTTCAAAATTCCTAGAGCCCGAATTGCAACTTGACCAGTGACCGGCAGAAAGTTAGGCCCGAGTCAGCTCCAGATCATCGTATTACATATTCATAGGAAAAGGCATGCCTCAAATCATGATAATAATAATAATGGTACACAATACCAAATTTTATTTATGTATGTCTTTCTTCAGACCACAACAAATCATTCAGTGATGGATGAATTGATGTCAGCTACTGGAAAAATTATGAAGATACATTCATTTATCAGTCAAGGTGGACTCCTGACAGATTTTATCATTTTCTTTTGCATTATTTCCTTTTCTCCATTCACTTACTATGCCTCTCTGAATGTTACGAGAGAGAGGAAAAAGATGAAGGGCTTGATGAAATTGATGGGCCTTCGAGATTCTGCTTTCTGGTGAGTGAAATATGACCCAAAAAGATAAGTGGACAAACTCAGGAGTTGTTGGGTTTTTTCTAGATACAGAGCTTCATAATTACAGTCTAATACTTTTCTAACATTTTCCTTTTTTCTTAAGAATGGAATTGATTTCCTTTGATGTAATGCTGGCTAGGCCAAGATCGGTATTGCTATCTTTCTCTGAGATGAAGACATAACTTCAGCACTTGCCAGCTGGAGTTATTAACGGATCCATCCATGATTAATGCACTCAACAAGCAAGGTCGTAGTCATGCCATATGCCAAGGTCTATCCTCACTGCCATGGGGTAGATCCTGAGGACCCTATAGGCTAGGGTAGAACTGCTTCTGTCCCTAGGTAGAATTCTAGCTTGGGTACCTTGGTGCATGATGATGACATGATTTTGGACATTCTGAGAATAGTGAATGCTAAATATCTACATTAGAGGTGCAAATAAAGTGGTAAACAGTATGGACTTCGTCGTCAAAACATCAGTTTACAAAACGCCCTAGCGTGGAAACATTATTTGACCTTCTTAGCACTCGTAGTCCCTTTATGGTATTAACACCTAGATAATAGGAAATATAAGTAGATGCTTGTGCGAAACACTGATCACAGTGTTTGTTAGATTGTAATGGTTCACAGCCAAGTAGATGGTTCTAGAATGTGAGAGGGAACGCTGGGCCTATGACCGTGAGTTGGAGTCATCGGCTGAGACACATGAGGCAGGGTACTACCCTGAGAGTTTGTGGACAAAAGGTAGAGTGCCTTGATCAGAATCCTGACATCCTTCTCAGGTTCCTGTCTATCAAATACGGAAAATAATGATATTCCCTGGGAAGGCTGTCAGGAGAAGGGCATGATCTAACATGCGGTAAATTCGGAAAACACTGCCTGACACATCATCATTGCTAGAGGTGTTGGTGGAGGTGGGTTTTGCTGCTTTGCTGTCATCATTTTTTATGGCTTCATTCGAACTTTCAAAGAACAAAGTGGTGAGGAGTCTTTTATAGTTCTTCCATTAGCAGCGCATGAGCGAAGGAATAGAGGTCCAGGCAAGTACGTGGACTATTAAGAAGCCTAGGTGGTGCAATGGTTAGTGTGTTCAGCTGCTAACAGAAATGGTTAGTGTGTTCAGCTGCTAACAGAAATGAGTGGTTTTATTCTGTCCTATCAGGATCAATCCAGCTTGGAATAAACTTGACAGCACCCAATGACAACAATGTAGACTATTGGGTGTCTATGGCCAGAAAAAGAGGAAAACAGATTTGGGAGGGAAAGAGAGAGTGGGGACAGAATTACCCCCAAGGAAAACGTTCTTATTCGTAGGAAGATTCATGAAGTTCCCTGTGGCAGAGAGCCGCCTTTGGAGAGACTTCCGACCCACTGAAGGGCTGTCAGCATACAAAGATAAGGTCCTCCACCAGCTCAGGGAGCCCTCGTTGTAGTCCAATTGCCATTGCGCAGAGACACAAAGGAACTTGGATTTGCTCAAGTTCTTCCAAGCCCCAGGGTTAAAATACTGCAGGGAAAATGTTTGACCCACAATCTATGCGACTGGAGCCTATTTTTTGTCTTTTGTTCACAATGGTGTGTGTGTGTGTGTGTGTGTGTGTGTGTGTGTGTGTGTGTTTCTGGAACTGATTTGAGGAATGGAAGATATTCGGCCCAAGGTATTTATCTTATGCTTCCATATCCTAGAACACTCCGTAAATATCTGCAGAGAAGAAAGGATGGACCATGTCAATATCCATCCCATGCCTCTTTCCCAGGTGAACTCAGAGTATTGAAGTAACACTGTGCTTCCTCGTTAGGTTATCATGGGGCTCGCTCTATGCCGTGCTTATCTTCATTATGGCCCTTTTCATGGCACTGATTATTAAATCTTCTCAATTTGTCATCCTGACGGGCTTCGTGGTGGTCTTCAACATCTTTCTACTCTATGGATTGTCTTTGGTGAGTTGACGAATGAGACCGCTCCCCAGCCAGCCTTCAACCCATCTGATTCTTCCTCCATGGCTCCTCTTGCTTTGGTTGGTTTGAGTGAGAAAGTACACGTGCACAACTCACAGCTGTCCCACCCATTCGGATTCATAGTGGACCCTAGAGGACAGAGTACGTAGACAGACGTTTGACGTTGGTGTTTCGTGATACCAATGGGTAGTGCAATTTGCTGAACACACACAGATTTTGTATATGAACCCCCTTATTTTGTAGGCTAATGGTATTTCTGGATCTTGTCTCATTTTAGATAGCCTTGGTTTTCTTAATGAGCGTCTTGGTAAAGAAGCCTTTCCTCACCGGCCTGGTGGTGTTCCTGCTGACTGTCCTTTGGGGGAGTCTGGGGTTCACAGCGCTCTACAGACACCTGCCTGCATCCTTGGAGTGGACGCTCAGTATTTTTAGCCCCTTTGCCTTCACGCTTGGAATGGCCCAGGTGAGAATCAGTAGGATGATCCCTTTCTGAAATTTCCAAAACACCTTTCCTCTTTGGAAACCAGTAGTCTGCTCTCCTCTCGATGAACCTATGCTCTACATTTGAAGCCCTGGAGATGGCACTTGTGAGGTAGCAAAGATGAACTTTCAAAAGCTTTGGAAGGCGGTAGCCCAGCAGAGAGAAGGTATTCAGTAAGTTAAAAACAAGGGTTCACATATTTAGAGACAATCTAGAGTGTTTTTTTTGTGGGGGGGGGTTAGACTATTAAATATAGGCTCGATGTACCAACTCCAGCCTTAACTACTTGTTCCAGTCCAGTTTTGGACCTGCTGTCTAAACAGCACATGTGGTTGTAAAGGCTGCAACGTAAAAACAATTTAGAAAGCAAATCACATTGAACATGCATTTATTGATCGGGAAATGATATTTCTATTCCCCCAAAAGTCTTTTTGTTTCCTCCATTCCGATTCTTACATTGGATTTGCCTTTCCTTCCCTCCCAGTAGAAGCCTCCGTGGTGTAGGGGTTGTGAGTTGGGGTGCTAATCACAAGGCCAGCAATTTGAAACCGCCAGCCAGCTCTGTGGGAAAAAGATGAGGCTTCCACTCCTATAAAGAGTCATGGCCTTGGAAACCCGTAGGGGTAGGTCTATCTCATCACAGAGTTGCTGTAAGTCAGAATGAACTTATTGGCAGTGAGTTTGGTTTTTTGGTTTCCTTAAAATTAGGTGGTAATGCCAATCAGTAAATATCCTCTATCAGGTGCCTAACAATAGAGCTGTCAATTATAAAATGCTCATTGATTTCAACTTTTTTCCCACTGATTCTCCCTAACATGAGGGTAACTCCTCTAGCATGCAGCTACCTATCTTCAGGGAGAACAGAATGTTTTCCGGTGTTCCATTTGGTATCTAAGGTCAAGACCAAGTTCAACCCTCCCGACCTACTTCCTATCTCCTAACGCTCTCGTTTCATTTGGAACCCAGGTTTCCCATAAAAGGTTGTTGCTGTCCAGTTGATTCTGGCTCCTGGTGATCCCGCGTGTGTGAGAATGGAGCTCTATTTCGTCATGTTCTCAATGGCCAATTGTCAATAGATGATCCTCAGTTATATCTTTTGAGAAACACTTGGGTGGACTCAAGGCCCAGCCTTGCCACTAACAGCCAAGCTATATTAGCCTTCATAGGCCCCAGGGGCTCTCCAAGATCCCACCCCCACCCCCAAATCCCTCAGCCAATTCAGTCTCATAGTGGCATGACAAAGAGTTCCAAGAATGTAGCTCTTGACAAACACAGACAACCTCATCTTGCTCCCGAGGAGCGATTGCCAGGTCCCGTGAGAGCTGTTCATGTATCCATGCCTTCCAACAGACTTCAGAACGTGAAAGCAAGCAAGCTCCTCACTGACCATTGTGTTGTTCTTCCCAAACCAAGTCACTGCCGTTACGTCACTTCTGACTCACAGGAGCCCT